CCCCTGGGAAAATTTTTTGAAGTAAAAAAAAAAAATTTTTTTGGTTAAAGGGAAAAAAAAAAAAAAAAAAAAAAAAATATATATATATATATATATATATATATATATATATATATAGGAAAAAGGAAAAAAACATTAAAATATGTAAAAACTTTTTTTACATTAGTGTAAATACTTAAAAATAATAGGTCTTTATAAAACCTGGTTCAGCCTTTATGCCTCCCACATATTGAAGTCATTTTCTTTGTTGAGTTGAATCGCTGGACTCACTATGAGGCTGAAAAATTCCACCTCACTTCAATTTCTGATTTTTATCCAAAACCTGAGCGCTTCAGGTCAGAACTGACAGGTATTTGGACTTGGAACTGTTCATAATTTTGCTCTTCTTTTCTAAAATCCTACAATCATATGAATTAAAAAAAAGTTATTTTCTTGTGTAACCAGCACGATTTTTTTTTTTTTGTTTGTTTTTTTTTTTTTTTTGCAAATGCAGCAGTCTTTTAGTAAAATGCAACATTGTTTCTATATCAATAATATATTATGAAATTTTGTCCCAAAAGTTTGGCTTATGCATCTACCAATTTCAACCTTGCATTTCCATGCAGTTTGGAGAAACTTCCGATATTTGCACATTCATTTCCATTCCATGTTTTCTCCAGACATTGCTAACATTCTAACTACATGTGCTGCGCACACAATCTTGTGGATATTTTGTTCTCTCCTCCGGACTGAACAAGTGTGCGATTTAAGCCATCACTTACTGCACTGAAAGCAAGCAGTAAATGTAAAAAAATAAGCACCTTTAGTGACAGTAGTCCCATAAAAGGTTTTCTAAAGGAAACCTGTTATGTGCATTGCTACATGTTCTGAGCACTGGTCTCAATTTTCACACACCCCTTATTCATACAGGTGAAAAACACACCCTGTTCTGCCCTACCTGCCCCACCTGCGAACATGCACCTATTGTAGCTGCAAAGGTGGCAGCTTCATCACAAACAATAGAGAGAAAGAAAACAGAGAAGACTGGGTAATTCTTCATTTCCAGACTGTTGAAGCTTAAATACACAAGATGTTTACGTTAAACAAATGTAATGGCGTTCTTTAAAAAGCAGGCGTCCTAATCCGTACATGCAGCCGTGGCTCAGAGCGGTGTTGGGTTCTCTGGAACTTCAGGGCTTCAGAAAACTTTAAATCCTCTCATCATTACAAACAAAACCAGCCAAGCGGATTCAGCGGTTTTGACAGCTTTGTGTTCATTGAAAACGTTATGGAAGAAAAAGTAATGAAGAGCAATTATGCTGCTCCCAAATGCAAGTGTTGAATTTCAATTAGTCTCATTCAAAGTCTTCTAAAGTTTCCGGTCCAAACATGTACATGCTGGTTACTGTGCAAACTAACCTGCATAACATAACAGCCTCCTCCTCCTCTTCCTCCTCCTCCTCTCAAATACATTTTGGTTTTGGCTTAGAAAAAGACTCCACCTGGTGGGACATTTTCTGTGCTTGGAGAAACTAACTCTTACTCCATTTCCTCTTAAAATAGTCTGTGATGGCTGAATCCCTTGAGATGATTTTACTTATTTATTTATTTAAAGAGATGGCTTTTCACCACACAGGTGTATCTCGATTATAATATCAACAATGAGTTCATTTATTCAGTAACTTTGACTAAATTGAGACATATAGACTCATTGCACACTAAATGATATATTATTTTTCTGTCCATTTTGTGGCTTAGAACTAATGAAAACTTAAAACTAGTAGTCTCAGAATATTTCAGTGCTACATAAATCCACTAAATATTCAATCACAGCAAAGAGTTAGCAGCTGACCAGCAGACAGACCGACAGCTGGCTCACGGAGGATAAATCATGCAAGCTCATTGCTAAAGCAGGTAGCTGTAAACAGCCTTATGTATCATGACGATATATTCCATAAGCTATAGTGTTACCTAAACGCTCATGCATTTCAGAAATTAAATTCTCTAAATGAAAATTATATAGATCACACACAGGGTAATTTAAGAAAAAAAATGATTTATGTTAGCTTTGATGATCTCTCGCTAACAGCCAATGACAACAAGATGTTTAAGAGTAGAATGTTACATCAGACTAATTAAGTAATTTTATTACAGAAATGTGAGGCTGAAAATAAATGTTCTTAGTACATTGGTAAAGGTTGTTTTCAAAAGGTGCATTCAATCTGAAAAGAGAGCCACATATTCTACTCTATTAAACTTGACTGAATATTAACAGAAAGTTGAGTTTAGGGGGGGGGGGGCATGAAAGAAATCGTGCAGAAGTAACTGGGATAACTGCACCCTTCAGAGGATTGTGAAACAAAGCCTGTACAAAAGGATGCACAACGTCTGGACTTCAGTATTTCAGAACAACTCTTGTTGCAGGGACAACGTTGGACCAATCTCGCCTGCTCTGAGTAGAAATGGGACTGGTGGTTCAAAGTTTTATTTTCAGATCAAAGTAATATTTGCATTTCGTTTGGAAATCAAGCTCCTGGAGCATGAAAAACAGAATCTGCGTTGCTTTTAGTGTGAAGTTTCCACAGTCGGCTATGATTTGAGGAGCCAGCTGGTGTTGACAAATCCAAAGATCTAACAGGAATACTCAGATCACGTCACTGTTTCCTCTGCTGACAATTACTGCTAAGATGCAGGACGGTCTCCTTCTTACACCACTTTGATGACTTAGCATGAATATTACAAAAATAATTTTGTTATGAACTTGTTTTTGATTTTGAACTACCAAAGCATATACAAAAAAAACTCTTTTTTTTCATGGATTGGATTTTAAATATCAGAGCAGAAAAAAAATTGTGCTTACCAAGAATTTGCAAATCCATCCCAAATCAATGTACTGCATTGGACCTGTGCTGTCAATATTTAATCAGTAAAACAAGAAGAAAGTAGACAATCTGAGTGTAAAAGACTAAAAACACACAAAATTTGATAAACAAAATAGTCATTTTCTATTTGGATTTAATAGTCAATTCTGTGGTTTTGAAGGAATTTTGGCTCACTCTTCAGTATAACATTGCTTCAGCTTATTAAGGTTTGCAGGCATCAATCTCTAAGGCCCTACCACAGCATTTTTTTTTACTTTGACTGGACCTCAATTATTTTCTTTTTCAGCCACTCTTATAGATTTACGCTTTAGTTGTCAGGAAAAAAAAAATTCCCTCAAATTTGACTCTAGGAATCTAGAAAGTCTTCCAAGACTCCACGTGTGCAGTATAATTCATGTAATTCATGAATGACTCAATGAGCGAAAGGCGCCAGGATCTTGTGGCAGTATAATGACTTAAAAATGTCATCGTCCACCACCTTACTGGACACTTAAAAAGTTTGTGCTAATTTGCTGCTTTCGATTTTTTTTTCTTAAGGACGTTGTTTTGCAGTACAGATCAACATATCTAGTTTAAAGGACGGAGAACGGGTTTAATTCAGAGGCTTCTTTGCAAAATCTATGTTGTGCTGCGCTTCATTTTTAGGAAAAAAAAAAAAAAAGAATTTCTCCTAAAAATCATTTCAAACAAGCGTTTACATTTTTGCATTATTTTTTTGTAACTGCACTGTCGTGAACTTTAACATGCCAACTCTGACATGTAAAGTTTAACCAAACCTTTCTGTGGACTTTTCTGTATGGCCATTGCATGACTCTCTGGGAAGTTTCCCCATCTATAAATCAACTTGAACCATCTTGGAAGCGATCCCTTTAATTAGCAATTACTTCTCTTAAATCATCCAGTTCTCTTCTCCAATCTGGAAAGCACATCAATATCCTCCAGAAAAATCAAATCCTCCGCTGTTCATACTTGCCCACGATCAGTTCATAAAATGTAGTTGATTTGGAAAAGTTGGCTGGGACTTTCCCTATGAGATAGCAAGGGTGTAGTTGGAGTAGCGCGCACACAGATTTTCCATTTTCTTTCCTTCCTTTCTACAAATCTGTAGATTTAAACATGTTTTGAGCCTGGTGAAGACTTGATCATTTTAATTATACCTTGATACTTAAAAGAGGATGTCATCTTTTACAGAAACAGTACATGTCAGCGTCGTGAATATGATTTTTACAAGAAACTAAAATTACCAAAATGTATATGTAGGCATATGCTACCCTAAATCATTATTTTTTTGCAATTTTCCTGTTAGTCATCCTAACTATGTTTTTATCCGCAGCCTATATTTTAGTGTGAGCTCAAATGTATGACAAGTGCACAATGCTTTTCACCTTCCTCAGGCAGTTCAGCTTTGAAGACATTCTTCTATGCGAGCCATACATGTGTACTGCTGTAAAACAATCTACAGAACACCTTTGCCATCAACACACTCGGAGTAGATAGCTCCACCCGCCCCCTTCTCCTTGGTAATTATCCCGTCACAACACACTCCCATTCAAACAGAACCAGCGAATGACAAACCTGACTCTGCACCAGAGTCAATCTACATTGATGCTGGAAGCGTTCAGGCCTCGTATAACGGCGTGACGGTGCCATCCTTCCACTCAATCAGGATCTCCCCCCGTGGCGAGCTTGGCGAGGAGTGTGGAAAGTGCATGGCGTGCTCGGTCAGGGCGGCTCTTTCATTGGGTGCCGGCGATCCGGGAATGCTCACCTCTGGCGTGGGAGTGTGCGACTTCAAGGCACAAACCACTTTTCTCCTCCTGGCACAACATAAAGAAACAGAGTGTTAAAAAAAAAATACTGGCGAAAATGAAATACTAAAGATCCACATGTGGCTCGTGTTTGGTCTTTGCCTAACCCTGGAGTAGGGCTTCTGTTCTGACGCTTAAGTGTGTGTGTGTGTGTGTGTGTGTGTGTGTGTGTGTGTGTGTTGCCATCTTCACCTGTTGGAGTACACGTTGAGGATGAGAATTATAGTTCCCAGGACCAGAGCCAAGGAGCTCAGCACCAACATGGTGATTTTCCATCCCATTCCTGAACACATGGGCACCAGTTTATATCTTACATCAGCTTTCACATCTTTGTTTCAATAAATCCAAAACTGAGCCTGTAACTCGGTCTTCATGAGCGCTCTACTGCGTCCACACCTTCATAAAGAACTGCCTCCATCTAGAGGTTATGTAGAGCAATTGCAGAATGTGAGGCAACTCACTGTTTTAGTCTTAGATTTATGGAGATCAACTGTAACGCGTTCAATCAATTTATGGATTACAGTTTGATAAACTTACCATAATCCATAGTGAAAAAAACCATAGTGGGATCTGCAGGAGATTTGGTGATTAAAGAGGAAGGAATCGTCACATCCTTTACAGAATAAGCTTCTGTCCATTTGGAGTGCAACATACCTTCATCTGGACAGAAGGACAGCACAAAGACATCAAAGTCATTTAGAGGCCATTGCTGAAAATAAATCATTTTTATCCTTTCTGAATCTCTAAAACAACCAATATCACTGGTTTAAAGGTGAAATTTATATGAAATTCAATCCGATCTTCATCCACACTAGGTTTTACTGTGTGGATGCTGCTGTAATTCTACAAGTTGTTCCCTTGGCCTGTGTGGAGTAGCTGGCTCTCTTACTGGAAAACTAACACTTCAGACTGTCAGGCTGAAACCTGACCTGCTGTCAATAAAGTAAAAAATAAATAAATAAATAAATAAAAACGACGAATCCATCATATGGACATAATAATGGCTGCATAATTTGTTTATAGCAGTAATGGACTGTGTACATTAATGGTGTAGGCTTATGCTGCCAGTTCACCATGATGAAGAAAAACATGAAAATAAGTCTTTCATGGGTCATTATACAAAGAGTCCTGCTGATTCGTTTAGATGAATTAATACATCAAACTTTGGTTTCCGCCAGGATATTTTTCATATTTTGGTTTCCACACTTACAAACTGGAATGACAGTGAAACATTTTTTGATGCATATGGACACACCGACGCCTGCTGAACTGTTAACCGTCAACAGAAATCAGTATTAAAACATGTAAAGCCTGCCTGCAGCCATTTTAAAAAAATGATTAGTACTGCAGCAATCTGAAGGAAGCACATCTTTACGAGTAAGCTTCTGTTTGGTTCTTACATGTTTTCACCTGCATGTGTCTTCCTGATAAAGGGCTTTCAGAAATGTTTGTTTTTTTCCCCTCCACACGATGATAAGGCTGGTTTGGGTTTTCTTCAGCATATCTCCCGTTGCACAACGTTTGGTTATCGAGAGCTCGCCACTTGCTGCCCTGCTATAGCAAAGACGGGGAAGCAATAAGAGCCTCTGAAGGCGTTTGAAACCAGCTAAAGTTAACTTACTAACTAAATGAAGTAAAACAAAATCATTACCTGTTTATGTTCCCTCTGCAGAAAAACCAGAGTGGAATGTTTTGTAGCACTCAAGTGAAGCCTGTTCTCTAGCAGGGTTATGTGGCCTTTCTTTGTGCAAGCCCAAGCCTGGCCTCGCGCCTCTCTTTCCACATCCTCGCCACCAGCTCCATCTTTGAAAACGCAAGGCCGCAAAACAACGCCTTCGTACTCCTGCCTCGGTGCAGTCAGACATTCTCCGGTGTGTAGGCTGCTGAGCGCCTGGACCTTTGGGAGCCAGCGCCATTCCTGGACAGGCGAGTCTGGGCTGCACTCTCCAAGTGACGCCTGACCTCCTGTTGCTCCTTCTTGCACCTGCAGGCATTTACCCATAAGCTTGTTCCGAATCTTTAATCCAGACGCTTCTGCGTGAGAAACATGAAGGAGGCATGTTCTGATAACCAACCTCCATTCTCAATTATATTAATTCAATGCAATCTAGTGGGTTTTTTTTATAAAGCACTTTCAAACAACACACAGGACCCAGGTGAGGTACGTAAGACAAAAAAAAAAGTAAAACAATAAAACCAGAAAAGGAATAAAATTTAAAAAAATAACTAAGAACGACAAAACTGGAGTAAAAGCTCCAGAGACTGGATGCGACTTGACACATTTGCTTTTTGCTCACTTAAGACAAAATCCTTAGGAATATCACAACAGAGTAATAAACACTGGGTTATTAATACAGATGTGTCTATGCAAAAAGTTTATATGTGCTCTAAACTTAGTTAATTTAGAAGTTATCAGACTAAAAGCTATGAGAACTGGGAGATCAGAGAAACCAGGAGAAACAACACATTTTAATAGGTTGTTTAATACAGAATGATAAAAGCCAGGTATGCACACAGTTACCCTAGAACTTGTTTTCACTTAGTCTGCTTTCTGAAACGTAGGTTCATTACGATTCTTTATTGTATCAATTTTTTGTACAATATTGTTTAAGTTTGTGTTGATGTCATTTTGTGTCTTTATGTATTTGCAATAAGGAGGTCATATAAAGTTTTTTGGGGGGAGGAATTCTCGTTTCTTTCAATTACTTGACAGCAGGGACTACTAACCATACCATACCATACTTCGGGAGTATTTAAAGTTTTATCACTACAGGAAATACTTTCCAAATTCTGGGGATTGTTCAGCGATCTCTTTCTATGATATTGGCTCTTTCTTTCGGCAAATGGATTTTGGTACAACTAAAAGTACAAATAAAGTCTAAACCATTACAACGTCGCAGTCGTAATTGGTTATTCCGCAAAATCTACGCAAAATCAAAACAACTTGTGTCAAAATGTACAGTTCCATGACTTTAATAGCTCGGCGAAAAATGCAAATGGCATCAGATTTTACCTTTCAGAAAGATAAGGAAAAGCAAAAACTCAGAAGGCAGTCCTTTTCCTCTCATAGCGATGGCAGGTGCAGATATGGGCTTGAGTTTCCTCCCGAGAGACTGTTGGCGGTAGCAACAAGTGGGAGGGAGCTAAACTTTCCAAAGAGACTGATGAAATGGGAGGGGCCAAAGAAACGTGTCCGGGGGGACACGTTGTCCCCTGCTGTTCAAAACAATGTAAAACTTTGACTTTAAATAGACTTCATAGTTTAGCACATATAGTAGACATGCATGTTTTATTTAGTGGATAATGTAATAAAAAAACAAACATTTTATTTTAGAATGTTAAATGTCAAGTGTGCTCTATTGTTTATTGTTTTGACTCTCTCAAATGTTTCTCGTCTCTAAATACTGTCCCATTCAAACACGTAGCAAACCTACCCTGCGCAGTTCACCGTCAGAGAAACAGCCACATTGATTTTTGATTGTTTTATTTTCATCAGCAGTGGAAGCTTTCAGGCCTCATGGAGTGAAGTGACAGTCAGGATCTCTCCCCAGGGTCAAGTTGGGGATGAGAGTGGAAAGTGCATCATGCTCTGTCAAGGCATCTGTTTCACTGGGTGATGGCGATCCAGCAATACTCACCTCTGGACTGGACGTGTACGACCTGAAGAGGAATTTGAAGTCAACTCCCAAAAATCTGATTTCATACATTCTTACAATTTCAATGCTGTTTAGCACAAGTTTAGCTTTTTTTTTTTATTCCATGTGTTCATACAATTTCTCTATTACTTTTATTTCTCTTTCCATCATAGGATTGAAGCTGCCCCAATCCTGAGAAATGTAATGTAGCATCTGCAAGTGAAGTAAATCCTAACAACTTAGCTACATTGCACACGTCATTTATGTGAAGTTAAAAAAAAAAAGATTTTGACATTTACCATATAAGCATTTCTTTGAACTGTTTTCAGACTCAGAAGGCAGAGAGATGAGGATAATCTTTTATTAAAACAATGCAGTAAACACAATCAAATAATGTTGCCATGCACCCTTCATGAAAAGAATGCTGCAAATATATGAGTTATACAGTATATATTTCTTGCTATATAAAGTGGCAAAAAAACACAAAATGAAACCACAACAAAGGACAAGACAAACTCTTGATGAAATATTCAGCCTTTTCCCCACTGTAGGCCCTTTGTTTCCCACACTGCCAGGGGAGAACATCGCTTTACAACCACTCTGCCAAGACTCCATCGACTGCTAAAGAATTTTAAAGAGCACAAATCTGCTATTAGAAGAAAACAGTGTCGCCACTCGACTCAAACATTCCCACTCGTTGCTGTGAGAAGCTGGGGAGCTTTTGTGGGCCTGCATGGTCATGTGATGTTTTCATGTATCTCAGACAAAGAATGTGTTGACAAGGACACAAAGAGAAGTACTTGCGTGTTTGTTTGCCAGAAACCTCCAAAAATATTTCCCAGTTAAACATTTGTAAACATATAGAAAACAAAATGGAAAGCGAAACTGTTGGTTTCTGTAGAGTAAATTTTAAAAGCACCACCAATTTTTTTTTTTTTTTTTTTTTTTTGGAAAGCAAAAAAGACATAATTCAGATTTCATTACTTTCATTAACAACACTTTTAATTTGATTTGGCTCCACTGCCGTCTTGGCAGTCGGGGTAAATTTCTACAATGAATGTTTTTGTTGCCCTGCAGTGGTGGGGGACTGTAATGACATTTAAGTCAATACTGGTCATCTGAGTCTATATGTAATGATTTAACTGCAGTTGTCAGGTGTAAGTATTTAACAACTGCAGTTATAAAACTCCTGACCGCATCAGAAGCAGGGGAGGATGTTACTGAGAAATCTCCCCCACATCTGAACATCGAGCACAGAAAGTGTCGCTTTTCGGGACGACAAGGAGTTAAGATGCTTATGAAGGAGCAAATGATTTGATATGGATATGTATATTTATTTATCAGTCAAGATTGTACACTGCGTAAAACACAGTAAGATTTATTCTGTTTGTAGCAACAAAAGAGCATGTCCAGCTTCATTGTTTTGTTTGTGACGAGCAAAAGCCTGGATTTACCTTATTTGATTTGGGAAACGTAATGAATTTGGGAAAACAAAAAATGAGTGTCGGGGTGCAGAGGAAGACCACCACTGAGTTTTTGTAATTAGTCAATTTGGCCTTCAGCCAGGTAGTCTGCTCACTCCACTCATTCCCCAGTTCAGGCTGGATTTTAATTCCTACATGTTAGGATCTGGGGTTGTTTTGAGTTTGGCTTGAGTTTTATTTGCTTCTGTGGTTCTTAGTTCCTCCGTTTTTAGATCAGTTTTGGTTTTACTTTGCTTTAGTCCTTTTATTTAGGGCTAAATAAAAGTGAGTAACAGAATGGTACTCAAGTAGCCATTCTGGGTTACTTCTTATTTTTGATTAGATTAGTCTTGATTCGGTTTTACTTGAGTTCAGTCCTTCTTAGTGTTTCTAGTTGTGTTTATTTCTTCTAGTTATTCTTAGTTAATCTAGTTTAATCATTTCTTGTATCTGTTATTCTTTAGATTTCTTTTCTAGTCCTCTGTGCACTCTCCTTTGCCCCCTCTCAGTTTCTCCTCGCTGGTTCGTCCATTCACTCCTCGTCGTCTCTCCGTTTCCTCGATGGTTCCCTGTACTCTCCACGTGTCTCCTGGCTGGTTTTGTATGGTATATGTTATTTCAAGTCCGCTTCTCGTGTTTTTGTAAGTTTGGATTTTTCTTTATTTTCCATTAATTACTCAACATCACCTGCGTTTGCATCCAATTTATACCCACAACATGACACTATTTCGCTTGAGACAGCCAAAATCAAGGACCAACTAATCATGGAAAAACGCTTTCATCACTCAGACCATTAACCAGATCAATTCAAAAGGTCACTGGTTGTGATAATTCATTTTAATCTGCTATTTTGTTTTATTTGCACTAGTATTTTTCCTGGGGTTTTTTTGTTTTTGATTTTGTTGTAGTGATTGTTTTTTTTCACCACCACCTGGCTGCAAGGAAAACTTTTCTATGGAGTCAGTATCACAGTGATACTGATATCTACGGCTACCTCCATCCCAGCACCAAAACAGTAATCAAAGCACTTTGTTTACTACTCTGTCTGACGAAACCAGAACAGTGGAAAGACTCCATGGATAACTAATGACATTAGTGAGCATAAATGTGCCTTCATAGTGGACCACTGTTACCATCTGGGTTTGAAAGCCCCACTCATCAATAAAAGGAGCTGGAAACCTTTTGTGGTTCTGAATGATATTAGTAGATTTGTTTTTCTTTCCAGTACTCCACAAAGAATGAAATCAGGAGAAAGCAAACAGGTTTTTATTTGACCAGAAAGTCCTTTATTGCAGATTGCTAAAGATAATGACATAATTGACACGACTGTCAATTCTGACTACGTTTTATGTCTTAAGTTCAGTTTTTTTGAACTGGTTCACTTTCGCCAGTTGTGCCTTAGCCATCAGGAAAAAGAGAATTGTATAACGGGGGTTTATCTTGCAGTGTGGGGTACCGATAGGCACCTGTGCTAATAGGTACAGGATTAAACTCAGTAGGGTAGGCAGCTGCAGACGAGAAGTCACTGTAACTCGGGGGCCCGGCAGGACCACCTGGGTAAGGGCCACGGTCCTCACGGTGATCAAGTGCAACGGCAGGAGCAACTATCAGGGGAAATACCACCTCTGGATCGAAGGCAAAACTAATGTCCAAGTACACCTGGTGAATGTAGACATGAATAAAACCAATTTACATTGTGTAGGTGCATGTCAATCAGTTAGGCTATGATGAAAACTTTAATTTATTTCTCTTAATTCGATTTAAAAATGTAACCTTTTGATTGACTTATACAGATTATTTCAGTACCAATTTCTGTTCATTTTGATATTATTATAGTTACTAAAAAATAAATAATATGGAAACAAAATCACAGATAGCTTTCCAGCAAAGGTTGACATGCTGCTATACAAGTGCTGGTTGTAATCAGCATTTCATATGGAAGCACCTTGATGAAAAGTTGAATGGACAGAAAACCCAAGGTAAAAAGAAATGTGTGTAGCACCAGTGGATAGTTACATACCTTCAAGTAATACTCAACTGAGACAAGATCACAGTTATTGAGAGTGTAGATGGCATCTGGAGGAACATCGATGGTGCAGGACACAGTTGCCAGAGTGTATGGTTTGATGGTGTCTCCGACTATTTTGCATAAAGATTTGTCACTGATGCTTTTGGAACCCTCCGCCATGTAAACAGTCCTTCGCAGTAAACAGAATTTTGGTTTCATTGACTTGTAGGAACCATTGGAGATTTTGGCAAAAGCAGTTAGTCTGTCACCTGTTTAAAGAAACAGAAAAATCTGAATGTAAGTAAACTTACTGCTGACCAGTAATGACCATGTAAACACTGTGCATATGTGTCCACAAATTTCAGGCAGATTGGAAGGAAAGCCTTGCTCATGTACATTTTCAGGTCTTGCCATTTGTACATAGTTAGATCTAGATTTAAGTATGAACTGGGCCATCCTTAAGTGGAATGTAGAAAAATTGGCTGAAGATTTAGGACCATTGTCATGCTCAAGTGTAAAATGACCTTGAGACATGAAAAGACTTGACTTTCTTTAAGTAAATAGTTTCTGTCTGCCACTCCTGCATAAAAGCCATATTTGTGGAATTGTCCTGTTAACAGTTTCTCTCCCCTAAAATGAATGAGAAAAATTAAACTGTACCTGGAAAGCAAACAGTCCTGTTTACAGAAGCAGTCATTTGGACTTCTCCTTTGGAGAAACCTCCTATCTTTTTTGTTACAGAGTTGGACTGTGGACGCTATAATATGCAACAAAAATAAGTCTTTTGAGTATTTCCTCAATAAGCTTGTTCAACAATGTGATACAACACCAGAGAGTCACACCTACCACATTTTGGCGAGTGTTTCGTATGGACCTTGAAAGAAACTGGATCTCCTTTTTCACTGTATAATCCAAATGCCATTTCCTACGAATCTGTGCTTCAACCTTGTAAACAATGCTGCCATGTATCCCCTTGAAGGATGATGGCAAGTCCCTGACAGGGCAAACATGTTTAAG